TTTGACCCTGGGAGGCAGAGGTTGCAGTGAGATAGAACCACTCCAGCCTAGGCGACAGTGAGACACCGTCTCAAAAACAACAAAAACACCAAAATACACCAAACTGGTGCTTATCTCATTTCGCAGAAGTCAGTCCGCTCTCCCCTCTCCAAGAGTGTATTACTGTGCTTAATAAACTTTGCTGCTTTGCTATTTATGCCTGTCATGTCATGTCTAATTCTTTGTGGCACTAAGAACCTGAGGCTTCACTACATCAGCAGGTTAACGGGACCACAAGCGTACTACACCCCTCTTGGCTAATTTTTGTATTTCTTGTAGAGACAGGTTTTCCCTATGTTGCCCTGGCTGGTCTCATACTCCCAGGCCCAAGAGATGCACCAGCCTGTGCCTCCCAAAGTGCTGAGATTGCAGGCTTGAGCCAGGGCGCCTGACCTGGGCTTTGTTTCCTTATCAGAGAATGAGCTGGTAGGAATTGGGAAAGGCATGAAAGACCTGGGGTCCTTCACCACTTGTCAGACCCTCTTTCCTCTCGGGAACACCCGGGGATCCTTCTCAACCAGGCTGAATGCCTCCCATCCCCAGCACTCCAAGGGTATTTACCCAATGTCCTATCCCCACAGGATAGGACTCTCGTCAAATCCTCCTCTTAGGCAAGCTAGGTCCTTCCAGGACTCTACGGGCGAAGGTCGATGGACACACTCCACCCGCTGGGAACACCTTGCCCCCTTAGGAAATGCACTTCCGCTTGGAGTGGCATTAAAAGACACTCCAAGACTCTTCATAGCCCGTGAGACGCCAGAGTCACCTTTAGCCAAACCAGTGCCCTGAGAGTGGCATTTCCTACCCTGGGATCGCCCAGGGTTAAGGCCTCTGTCCCTGGCCCCGCCCGGCCGCGCCCTGGCCCCACCTCCGTCCCCGCCGATTGGCCGGGCCAGGTCTGGGGGCGGGGCGTTTGCCCGGCGGTTCCTGGGCCGGGGAATCCCCAGGAAGAAGCTGCTGAGCCATGGCTTCGGAGGTCTGCCCTCGCGGCTGCCCGTACGCAGCGGGCCCCTGGACCTTCTCTCGCGCCCTTCGGCCACAACTCCTGCCTCTCTGCTTTTTCCTTTTGTTGTGGCTGGCGGCGCCCGGTGCCAGGGCCGGGGGATACGAGGTGAGTAGGGCCTCCAGGCGGAAACGTACGGGAGTCAGAGTGAAGCCCCGAATACAGCCTAGAGGTGTGGGTGGGTCTGTCCTGTGGGTGTCTAGTGAATGGTTGATGATATGACAGTGTGGTCTGAGTGCGTGCTTTGTGTCATTGTGAGGTCTGGCTGTGCGCATCTGAGTATGGGACTGTGTCTGATTGTACCTGCCTCCGTGTCTCCGGGATGCTTGCCTGGACTTTGCCTGCACTTAACTGTGGGATTGGAGGGGCAGGAGGTAGCAGGAGGTGAGCAGTGTATGTGTGTGGGGAGGTGCTATCTGAGAGCTGGGACTCTGGAGCCTGCCTGAAATTCCAGCCTAGCTCTTTCACTTTATGACTGTGTGACATTGGGCAAGTCACTATCCCCTGAGCCTCAGTGCTTTCATCTGAAAACTGGGGATAACATCACCCCGCCTCCCAGGGTGGCCATCTGCTGTTTGCAAACGCTGAACAGACAAACATCAGCTACTTTCCTTTTTTTTTTTTGGAGACGGGGTTTCACCATGTTGGCCAGGCTGGTCTTGAACTCCTGATCTCAGGTGATCCGCCTGTCTTGGTCTCCCAAAGTGCTGGGATTACAGGCGTGAGCCACCACTCCCCGCCCAGCTACTTCTATAATTATTTTCCCAGAGTGTGAATGAGAGCTGCCCTGTGAAGTTGTGCCGAGTGGGAGTTGGATCTGTGAGCTCAACTATGTATGTGTCCACCCTGGGAGCGCCTGGCCTCCTCTGCACATAGGCGAGATCAATCCTCTCTGAGTCACTCACCTCTAGATCAAGACTTACTTTGCAGCCCCTGATCTTATGACAGGGTGTGTGTGTTTGGGGTCTCTGTGCAGACATGCCCCACGGTGCAGCCGAACATGCTCAATGTGCATCTGGTGCCTCACACACATGATGACGTCGGCTGGCTCAAAACCGTGGACCAGTACTTTTATGGAAGTGAGTAAAGGATGGGGACTGGTCCCGGGGATCCCCATGACCCCTCGAATCCCTTCTGGGCCCTGGACATTAGGGTGGGGGCAGTGTCACCCTGATATCCAGGGCTTGGGCTCCTGTGTCTAGGAATAATGCCCTTGGCTCTGCTGTGCCCTAAGAGCCTTATCCCTGTTATCCACAGTCAAGAATGACATCCAGCACGCCGGGGTGCAGTACATCCTAGACTCAGTCATCTCTGCCTTACTGGAGGATCCCACCCGTCGCTTCATTTACGTGGAGATTGCCTTCTTTTCCCGTTGGTGGCACCAGCAGACAAATGCCACACAGGAAGTCGTGCGAGACCTGGTGCGCCAGGGTGAGTCTGCCCCAAGGAAGTGAAAAGAGGAAGCCCAGCCCAGCTTCTGCTTCTGCTTCTGCATCATGCATGTCGCTCAGCCTGCCTGGATTCTCCATTTGGAGACTCCTATGCATCCCACAAGGCCCCAGCTGTAGTGCATCCTCTGGGAATCTTGCCATGCAGGGGGCCTCTTTCCCATATCTGGGAACTATGGCCTGGGAGCGACCCCTTTTCCTCCCGCCAGGCCTGAGTACACAGGCAGGCTTTCGCATTCCCAGTGTCACCCACCCTGGTCCCACTCCTGGCTCTGACTACTGACCCTGACCTTGCCTGTCCTGGCACAGGGCGCCTGGAGTTTGCCAACGGTGGCTGGGTGATGAACGATGAGGCAGCCACCCACTACGGCGCCATCGTGGACCAGATGACACTTGGGCTGCGCTTTCTGGAGGACACATTTGGCAATGACGGGCGACCCCGTGTGGCCTGGCACGTTGACCCCTTCGGCCACTCTCGGGAGCAGGCTTCGCTGTTTGCGCAGGTGCGTGCGACTCACGAACTCTCTTGGGCCCACCCCTTCACTCACTCTGGCTCCTCCCTCGCCCTCTCAAGCCCCCCTCCGTGCAATCTCACAGGGATCAGGACCAGGCCTGCTGAAGCCCTGCTTC